TCTTTCACCCAACGTTGTTCCATGTCTCCCATTGATCCTTCTTCTTAGTCGTTAATTTTGTACTGGTCCACGACTAACTATATTAAGTTATGGTTGCTTTTCGGTTTATGCTAATCAAAATATGTAATGAATGAAATCCTCTTATATCTCCACTCAAAGAAATTTAAGGGAAATACAAGTGTATAGCTAAATAATTTCTGATGAGATGTGGCACAGCACGTAGCGTCTGAAGTAGCTGATGGCAGATGCATTCATATTTAAAAAGTACTCAAGTCTGGGTGCTCAAAACATTTTCCTTCCTGTGCATGGGTATCAAACATTGCTGTTTCGGATTAGCCTAGTTACTTTATAACTTCGATGATTGTCTCCCAACAGGCAGTATTCTATTAATAGTTTTGTTCTTTTGCATTGCAGGGGGTTCAGGACCGTCATCATCAATAGCCATAGCTGGCACCAGCCAACCTGCCATCACAAAGACAACATCTGTGCTTCAAGATGGTGTTATAGTCACTACTGCAGCTGGAAACCCACTTCAGAGCCAGCTGCCCATTGGGAGCGATTTCCCTTTTGCTGGCCACGAACACTCGCTTCATTTTCCGCAGAACAGCTCTTCAAACAACAATCTTCCACATTCTTTGAATCAAAACCTCCTCAATTCTCTACCTATCTCTTTGCCAGTGAATCAGCAACATCTCCTAAACCAGAATCTATTAAATATACTACAGCCTGCAGCAGGAGAAGGCAAGTCTGAGGTCAACCTCAACCCTTTAGGTTTTCTCAACCCGAATGTAAATGCTGCTTTAGCTTTTCTCTCCAGTGACGTGGATGGGCAGGTATTACAACCTGTTCATTTTCAGCTTCTAGCAACCCTCCTTCAGAACCAAGCCCAAGCAGCTGCCATGCTTCCCCTACCATCTTTCAATCTGACCATCTCAGATTTGTTGCAACAGCAAAATAACCCTTTACCCTCAGTAACACAGATGACAGCCCCACCTGACCATTTGCCAAGCAATCAGTCAGAAAGCAACAGGGTGGAGACCCTTTTAACCAACCCCCTGGGCAACCCTATACCAAGCTTTTCAGGCACTGACACTACTTCTAACCCCCTGCTGCTCCCCGCTGTCTCTGGGGCCTCAGCATTAATGGCCTTGAATCCCCAGCTGGTGGGAGGTGTCCTGAACTCTGCATCGGGCAACACCGCTAATCATCCAGAGGTTTCCATAGCCACCTCCTCCCAAGCAACCACTACCACAACCACTACATCATCAGCAGTGGCAGCACTGTCTGTCTCAACCCTGGGTGGTGGGACAGCAGTGGTGTCAATGGCAGAAACATTGCTGAACATATCTAATAATGCTGGGAATACATCTGGTCCAGCTAAACTCAACAATAACTCTGTGGTGCCACAGCTACTTAACCCTCTACTGGGGACAGGTCTGCTTGGTAAGTTCAATTTCTTCACAGATATAAAAGGAAAAAAAAAAAAAGGAAGAGGGTTGGGGAGGGGGAATTTCGGATTCTAGTTTCTATTTTTAAAGACTCCACTTTATCATACTTCTTTTTGCAAGGCTTTTGTATGTTACAGCTTGTTTATTTCTACTGAGAAAAACATAACTGTTATTGTCAGAAATTTAAAATACATTCTAAGTTAATTCAGTAACATTTAATACTGGTTTTGGAAATTATTTTACATTCCATTCTTAATTCTGATGCCACCTAGACCTACTATATACACCTTAAAATTCTGTAAGCAATTGGACTTGTTTCGTTTTTCAAGTAGTAAAAGCACAGGTGCATCTCTGGGATGCAGTGTTTCATTTCAAGTGCATGTGGCATCACAGGGTTAGTACGAGTAGCTGTGCAGTAGATGAAAAATGGCCAAGTGCATTTTTCCAAATGAATCGAAAGTGCCAAAACCGTAAGCACACTCCCCGTAAAGTAATCCATAAAGCACTCGAAGTAGGTCCTCGCACAAGTTCAAAGAGGAAGGTTGCCCTTCGAGCCCTTTATTGTGTATTTATATTTTCTCATTTCTTTGTTTTTATTGCTTTAGCTTGTAGTTTAGAAACCCAGGGTATCTCACTTGACAAACACCTACATCCCAAAACAAGTGATTAAAAAGCCCTTAAATACAAGTTTTTTTCTCCTCCGTCTTTTGATGATTTTTACCTAGAATATGCAATATATAGTTAGTACTCCTTTGTTGTTTGGACTATGTAATCTAATAAACAGACCAGTAGGAGGAATTAAATAGTGGCAAAGAGCTGATAAGTATTTGAACTTAATACCTCATACTTACCTACTAAATGGCTATCGTGAGCTCAACCCTACTTTGCATTTTCCATGTAAAATACAACGAACCAGTGATTCTGCAAATGGCAATTGTAAGAAAAACATGAGCTTTTAATGAAAAAAACCAAAAAAAAACCACCTAGGAAATGGATACATTTTTAAGCTTTATTATTTCATAAAGTCAGGTTCAACAGCATATTTATTTTACTAGAACTATAATTTTCATGTAAATTGAGATTTTCGTGTAATACAAAATGTTAATACAGTTGTTTCTCGAGAACGTAAAAAAAAAAAAAAGTTGTTCAGAGTGTTGGCTGACATGTCTGTGAGCCAAAAAGCCTTTGCTCATTTGCAGCTAGCTCACGTTATTTTGTCATCGTTAATGAAAAACTAGTTTTGTTGGGTTTTTTAAATTATTTTCTCTTTCTCTCTCTCTCTCTCTCTCTCTCCTCCTCCTCCGCCCCCTTACAACGCCAGTACTGTTTGAAGCAGTCACTGTTTGGAAACTAAGAGTAAGATTCCAAGCCACGGAATGTGATAGAAGCTCATTCTGCCGTACTTGGCTGTGTACCGTTCCAAAGGCACAGGCAGTCATGTCAGAAACCTTTAGAAAGAGTCCAGATAGATGTGACATGCAAAAGAAGCAATACTGAAGAAATAAAGGAATAAAGAGTAGGAGACACATGCCTTGAGGACCATTCCGTAGAAGATTGAAGGGGAAAAGTGTTATTTTACAGAGGCATTTGCTTAGCAGTCAGTTAAAATTTGAGTCAAGGAAATTCCTCCTGACTGTTGAAACCTATACTGACTTATGTTTCCCTGTGTTTGAATTACAGGTGACATGTCATCTATAAACACTACTTTGAATAACCATCAGCTGAGTCATCTCCAGTCGCTATTAAACAACAATCAGATGTTTCCTTCAAATCAGCAGCAACAGCACCTTCTCCAGGGGTATCAGAACATGCAGGGCTTTCAAGGCCAGCCCCCAATTCCTGGCCCAGCTAACAACCCAAACCCCATGGCATGTCTGTTCCAAAATTTCCAGGTAGAAAGCAAAATGAAATCAATATTCAAACAAATATGCAACTCTCAGTAGGTAAAATTATATCCTCCGTAGTTTGATTTTTTTTTTTTTTTGCTGAGTGATTAAGACAATATAATATATACAATTGCTTGCCTCTTTCAGTGGTTTTTGGATTTTTAAAATCAGTAACATTTGTTACTGAAATTTGATACCTTCTTCCTTAGAAATTGGGTGTAGGTTCTTTGGAAACAGTTATGCTGCATGCATTGAAAAAAATATGCTATGCGTGTTCTGACAATTACTGTACGTTTTTAGCAAAACTATCTTCCATTCTGCAGAAACAATCATAAATTCCCATTTAGACCACTCGTAACAATTCAGTGGTGAGAAATAAATATTGATACCACTTTACAGTAATTAGAAACTTAGTCAATGATTATAGGTGACCGTGTGTACCAGTCCTCTTATATTGCCACGGAAATGGAAAGGAAGAGCTAGCTGTGATGGGGATTGTATAGACTGAAGAAAACAGGCAGTAGAATGAATATGTGATGACAAACTGTGCAAAAATGATACCTCCCTGCTCTCCACTTCGGTAGACACTTCTTCATAATGCAAGTTGAACTATCAAACTAACATACTGACAGGAAGCATAGCAACCAAAAGAGGTAATAAAAACAGAGTTAAAATACGTGTTTATTATTATTCAGTATTGCCGTGGTTGCTGCAGAACTCAAGACAGGAAGACGGAAGCATGCAGATAGCGCCAGAAAGTGCTTTTACCCTTTAAGAAGGAAAAAGATGTGTCATTTTCTCGGTGGAGATATTTCACTGCTATTGCAAAACCACAGTCCTTTAGCTGCCTATTACCTCTCTTTGGTTTTCTATGAATTTTAGTAGTTTTATCTCAGTATTTTTTTGCTTCAGATTCTCAGTTATATAAATAGTAATGGTAAGTATTTAAAGGAGCATTTGGAAATATTTTACCCTTGGTTTTTTACAGTTTTTTGTTATAGCACTATTATTGACATCGTCTTCACTGCTTACATATGTGACAAGAAGTATAAAAAGCACAGTTGCTTTAATCTGAAGGTTACCGTTCGCTGTGGCAGTGCCTGACATTACAGCTGCAATGCAAAGGGATGCAGGCATGGTTTACAAGGGACTGAAGTAAAAAGAGATCCCACGAGAGAAGCACAGAACCGAAAGGGAAAAAATAGAAATGTTAGACGATTCCAGAGGACAGTTATGGCCTGCATTCCAGAAACTGAATGAGGAGCATACAAGGAGCCCAGAAGCACAGTTAGCAGGGAGAAAAGAGGCAAAATTAGGGTCTGGGAAGGAACGAAAGAAAATAGTTGAGAACCGAAATATTGACTTTGGTGGAGTTGTTTAGGACTTGAGAGAAAAAAGGAGGGTGCTGTACTTCAATCAGAAGAGGAAATCTCTGAAAAGACGCTGAAAGAGATGATAATGTAGTCTCAGCAGGTTGCATCATTTCATGCAAGGCATCTATTTTGATCCATGAGACAAAGTCTAAGAGCCAGTGGTTTTGTTTTCCTCTAAATTATGCTTTTTTGTTTTCTATCTAGCTTGTTCAGCATTAAACTTCGTAACTGATGTATAACCAAACTGAAATTATGTACTGTTACAAATAGTCACCCTGGCCACCATCCTGATTTTTTTATTAAAATGAAACCAAGTTTGTTGAAATGGAACTTCAGGCAGAATAGTGATTTCCATCTTTTTCTCTACTTTTTCCAGGTGAGAATGCAGGAAGATGCTGCTGTCCTAAACAAAAGAATGATCACTCAGATGGGAATGGCACCAGTTCCTGAGAGCTCCAACGCTATGCTTCCTCCTTTCCAAGAAACATCTTGTGATTTGCAGCAAAGAACTGAACCATCTCTTGGACAACAGGCAAAGGATAACCTCAATGTCGCTGCTCAGGGTGATACATCGGTGGACGCTATCTACAAAGCAGTTGTAGATGCTGCAAGCAAAGGAATGCAAGTAGTCATCACCACTGCTGTTAGCAGTACAACACAAATGAGTCCCATTCCAGCTTTGAGTGCCATGAGTGCCTTCACAGCCTCAATTGGTGACCCATTAAATCTTTCTAGTGCTGTCAGTGCAGTAATCCATGGAAGAAACATTGCCGTTTCTGATCATGAAGGTAGGATAAGGAACACTAGAGGAACACGAATACTGAAGAATTCAGAGCACGGTAAAAATTCAAGTGAAGGGGATGGGTATGAATATTACAAATCCACAAGTTGTAACACACCCAAAAAACAGTGGGAAGGGGAGCAAAGTCCTGTCAGTGAGATAAATAGGTGGAAATGTGATGAGTTTCTAGACCACTCTACCCATATCCATAGTAGTCCTTGTCACGAAAGGCCCAATAACATCTCCACACTGCCACTGTTACAAGGCGAGCAGCATCAGATACTGTTATCACAGCGAAACTGTCAAAGTGATAAGATGTTGGAGGAGAATTTCAGGTATAACAATTACAAAAGAACTATGATGAGTTTTAAGGAAAGACTGGAGAACACTGTGGAACGATGTGCACACATAAACGGAAATAGGCCTCAGCAGAACAGAGGATTTGGTGAGTTGCTGAACACTTCTAAACAAGACCTGATTCTGGAAGAGCAATCTCCAAGTTCTTCAAATAGCTTGGAAAGTTCGTTAGTTAAAGACTATATCCATTACAATGGAGATTTTAATGCCAAAAGCATTAATGGGTGTGTGCCTAGCCCTTCAGATGCTAAAAGCATCAGTAGTGAAGATGACCTAAGGAACCCAGACTCCCCTTCTTCAAATGAGCTGATACATTACAGGCCGAGGACGTTTAATGTTGGCGACTTGGTCTGGGGCCAAATCAAAGGACTGACTTCATGGCCTGGAAAACTAGTAAGAGAAGAAGAAGTTCACAATTCATGTCAACAAAACGCTGAGGAGGGGAAGGTATATTTATATATATATGCACATATCTATCTATCTATCTACACGTGTACCTACACCCATACAAGTGTTTATCAAAATGATCTTGGTCCATTCTTTATTTTTTTTCCTTTGTCTCTTATTTTAGCAGTACAAATTGCTTTTTTTCATAACTATAGCTTGCAGAACTGAATTTTTCCCGTAGTTATCTAATGAGAAACTTCTACCAATGCCATGAAAGAGATTCTATTTTGGCCTGATTATGCTTTACTAACTAAATTGTGCACGAAAGACTTGCTACACAAAAAATGTTGTTAACAAAAAATTGTTTAACTTACATTGTGTATTTAGTTGGAACTTCTGGCTGTGTCCAAAGAAACTGATATGGGGATATCTAAAAGTGTTGAAAACTGCAAAAAGGAAAACTGATCTAATCAGATTGAGGAGTCTGTAATAAGTGAAAGCTTGCTGATTGACACGTACACTCTTTAAGAGGAAATGCATGTGCATTTTCACCTTGAAAGGAGGTTTTGACCATCTTTTAATAGTGAGAAAAGCATTCCAATTTGCTTGTTGGGGAATATACAGAAAATACAGTTATCAAGGAGTTATTGGTTATTTTATTATGATAAATATTTCAAATTCTGGTCTCCACTATTTATATATCATTATATTTTTGTAGTTTTTATAAAATATTTCACATCTTCCATATATAAATATTTTTAAGTGCCATTTTATAAAATGCAAATTTGAAAAATACGTAAGCAGAAAGGAAGGATCTAATGAAATAACATTTTACCTCGGGCAGAGAAATCAAACCACTTAAAAATTATGTCTCTTTTCCCCATATACCTGCCTAGTACCTTGCACGACAACAGTCATAAGAACGGTGATAGTGGGTTGACCAAAGTATTCCTTTCCCCAAAATTTGGCCAACAGCAGGCATGCAGAGAGATCGTACAAGAACATGTTGAGGAGTGCTTCTTCACCAGCAGCCTCTGACTCCCACCAGTCCATGGCTCAGGAACGTCTTGAGCTGGAACTGGTGTACCTATGGTCTAACCGCTGCTGGTCTTGCTGCAGTTCATAATCGTAGAGTTTTCCGTGGTTGATGTGCAAATGTAATTTCTCCAAACAGTGCAACAGGTCTTTGATGAATTGCTGCTATAAATAACTGGGGTGATGTTTGGCCAGAATGGTTTCAACTCTAGTTCAAGAGAACTTTAGTCTCTTTACTGTGGCTTCTCTGTTGATCTCCTTAGCCACAAAGGTTTCACAGAGCTCCCGTCTGAGTATGCTGAACGATAGTATTTATTTATAGAGAAATCAACATGCTGTAGTAACAATATTTGAGTGCTTAAGAGCTCATTCCTTATAAAGGTTAGATCCCCAAGTTACAAGTAAGTTTAAAAAGTACAGGCAAATGAGACAGACCACAAACTATAAAAGATTAAACAAAACTGGAAAAATTAGGAGGTGTACAATATCACTGTCCCATATGAATTAAGAATACAGTAATTGCACTGCACGTGTTCCAAGTATGCATTTATGTATTAACTTTCCAAGTATGTATTTATGTATTAACTTCACAAAATTGTGTATCCATATCTATATGACTGTTTTGATATATTTGAAGAGCTTATTTTTTGTAACTTTTGTAAAGAGGTGACATTTTTTTTCATTTGCATTCCTTAGCAATTTTATAAGTTTACTCCCCAGTTTGTGGATACCAGAATGTATAGTTGCTTTTGTCCAAACCCGCCTTCTTTAATTTTGTGTCTCTTATGTACATTACATAAGCATTGTATAATATTACATTCAGTGGCACAGATTTTATTGTATACTGAAGCACAAATAACAGGGAAGCAAACTGTGGAAATGCAATCATTGCTGCTCATGCAGTACTGTCAAGGTGCTTGTGGAGGCAGCAAGAGAGCCTGTTTCAAGTTCTTCATCAGGAAGTCCCACGTCATGGATCACCTCTCACATCAGAAGGCCTTTAATTTAATAATAATAATCATTTTAAATTTAAAAAAAAAAAAAAAGTAATGTCCAATTTTCTCCAGCAAGAAGTACAGAGTGAATGACCATTTCAAAGGTCAGAAGTTGAGATTGGAAGGTGGGATGCAGGGGAATATGAGAGAGGTGAAAATGTGCATGTGCTGTATAATAGTTCTGTTTCGGGTTGAAAATAGGCAGGAACCCCCGTGCACAGTGGCAATCTGTAGACATGTTCAAACACTCCTATAACGTGTTGTACGGCTGCATTCTTCAGATGGTTGGGCAGCCTGGGCTGAAGAAAAGGGGGGAAAAAAAAAAACCAAACCACACCAAACCAAAAAAAAATAGCCTTGAAAACCAAAAAGAAATAACCTGGAAAATCAAATGGTCTTCAGAAATTCTGTGCTTCAAAAAAATCATGAAAGGTTACAACTCATGGTGGGAGTCACTAGCAGCAGTTCTGAAAATTGTATTTTCTGCCAAGCTTTTTTAAAACATCTTTTAAAGTATTTGTACAATCAAATGTTAACCTCCTATATTGTAACATTAGTTTGCTATGCTGTTGGGATTTCGTGGTACTTTGTATATTTTCTGTTCTTTGTGTCATACATAATTTGATTTTTGTTTCCATTTAAAAGACTTTGGGTATTATATGTAATAATGCTTCTGTTTGAAGAGCAGCTGGAAAGGTGTTTCCCTACCAGAAGGGAGGAATATTGCACCTTTGCTTCCTAACGAACACTTGCTTTTTGGCTATTGGAAAATTAAAGAGAAGCCCAAGGGAAGCGCAGCAGTAGCAGCAGAAATTTCTGAAAAGGAAAGAAGCAAGCCTGAAGCTACATGCATCCTAAACCGCAGGATGTGTATTTCATTAAGTAATTAATTTGATTATTATCCAAATCAAAGCACCTAAACAGGAGCAAGGCTTTGAGAGCAGCAATGTGAAAGTCAGGCAGTAGTTGCCTGTTGTTAGGGTGTTTCATGGTGATTCTTACGGGGCGAGGATTGTTCTCCATAAGACTTCCCATCAGTTAAACTAGGCTTTTTAAACTGAGCTTTTATAGTTCTACAGCTAATAATAGGAGAGATTTATCAGTGTCCTGAAAATCCCATTTGTATGTATTATTTAGTGTTGTAATGGCTTATTGTAAATGAAAGTATATGATATTATTAATTCAAATATATCTGTTATAGTTGCTTCCAAGAGCATGTTATGTTAGCAATTTGATACTGCTTCTTCAAAAAACTGCTAGCAGGTTTTTTACTGTTCTGCCACCAGAAAATTCCAATAACGAAGATACTGATTTCTTTTCGTTACTTCAGTCCCTTGTTACCCAAACATGATATTAGCTCTTCATAAAAATATTTGCCATTGAACTTTCTTGTATATCTAATGGCAGACATATACAACCCTTTGCAGAGTTTGTTCCTTATATACACGTATATCTCACAGATACGGCTAATGTACAATTTAGCATTCGTGACAACTCTGTCACATGGTAAAGCATCTGAGGTAAAGGATCAAGATGATCATGTTATTGCCCTTTAATTCTGGTCAGTTTGAAAAATACAAGTTTCTTCTTCAGCTGTTTTTCAGACATTCCATACAATGAAGGCTTGAGCTATAGCGTATTGCAGACGGAGTAACGTTGCCTCCGATAATACCATTTTGATGTAGGAGACGTAACGTATAAGCTTCCGAAGCCAGTTTGCTCATTCTGTGAGCGTGGCGTGCCTTTTCTTCACATGTTTACCCTTAGAAAAGCTCCGCGGGTTTTAAATAGAGAGTATTTCTTATGTATGCTTTTGTATTTTTCCAAAGTCTGATTAGGAGAGGAATTATTTGAAGTATTTGCAGTCTTACGTTAAAAGTAAGCACAGTTCTAAGAGAGAAGCGCTATAATCTGTGGCATAATTGAATCTATTTCATGAAAATAGAAATCTTGCCTCCCCATGTGCAGATTTCACCAATAATGCCTCTTCTCTTGCAAGTTCCTGACGCGGCAGTATTCCCCAATTTCATTAGCAGATGCCTAAGTTCAAGACATGTGAAATTTGGTCTAAACATGTATTATATTGGGCCTTACTTCTAGAGATTTTGACAACTTGCTCACTCGTTAACTTCACATTGTCACGTCTAAAATTCAGTTTCATTGTGAATATAAATTATTTAGTAATTGAAAGGCTCGGTTTAGAGGGAATTTGCATTTAGATTTCTTTTTGGGATTGTATATGGGCACGCTTAATAAATTTGTATTTATAGAATTAATTTTCCTTGTGTCAGAATACAAGCTATACTTTCTAATGAAACAAATGCTATATAAGGTCTCATTAAGTTATGCAAAGATTAAAAAATACATCAAGCAAAATGTAGCGATGCTGACAAGGAAAAAGGAATTTATCCATTCATTTTCTTTAAATTGATGTGCTTAAATACCTTTTTTGTTTTTACAAGCAGAAATGACTGAGCCAAATCAAAATAATATGCAGAGTTAAGTGGACTAATGTTTTGAGAATATAAATGATAAAGTCATACAGATGATATAATTAATTTTCTTTCATGTTTGTATTGTTTATACTAGTACTATCTGGTACCTCCCCAGTGGTGCCAGTGATTATATGCAGCGGTTTATATACAGATTGCTTAAAAGATTATAATTCTGGTTGAGTTCAAGAGAACTTAAATTTCCAGTTAAAGTACTTTAAATACCAGCTCAGCAGCCCTGCTGAGCACGTGCTCAAATTCATTCCTGACTCAGCAGATCGCTAAAGTATGTGCTTAAGTAAAAAAATTTTAAAAGACCTTTCTCAGGACCAATAAATTAGCACCTAAAGCAAGCTCTAGTTAAGACTCATAGATTCATAATGCATAAATAAAGCTTGCCACCCTGCCCGCCCCCCTTTTAAGGCCTTGAGCCTTTTAACTTAAGCACGTACCGTGGCTCTTCTGAAACAGGAATGAATTTGGCCGTGCCGTTAGCAGCGTTGTTGAACTGGGGCATTAAATGCTTTATCCAGAAATTTGAGGTCATGTGAAACGCTTTTGTGTTGATGGCATCTGTAAAAATTGTATCGTGTGTACTAGGCAACTTGGTATTTTAATGCGTTCCAGGTGGTCTCAAAGGTGTAAAATACATTTGTAAAATGTGAGTACAGAATACGAGACTTCAACAACAGTGTTCGTATTAATAATATAAAGACAAACAAGGTTTTAAAAATATTATTTTCCTTCTTAGTTTTGTTTTCTTAAGTGCGGTGGGTTTGTTTTTTGTATTTCGTTGCTAGTGGCGTGGACATCTAGAGAAATGATAATACATTCATATATGTATGAGGGGGCATATATAGCCATACATTAATGTATTCTTTGCTGGGAAGGTTAGCGTCTTCTGGATGCAGTGAAAATTAGGCTCCATAATAATGCATGTCTAGCAGTAAAGTAAAAACAGTGTTTAATAATTGCAGGTCTGGGTAATGTGGTTTGGTGTTCATACCTTCACTCAGGTGGAGCCAGAGAAGTTGAAGACACTAACAGAAGGTCTAGAAGCTTACAACCGAGCCAGAAAAAGGAACAGAAAGTAAGTAAATGCCCATTTATTTAGTAGTAAAATGGAATAATTAAATTCTTTTCCTTCCTAAGACTCTCATTTTGGGGAGCTTAGTGGATCGGCCAAACTGAAGAGTTAATTTTCTGAATTCCTTGTGTTGATTATGATAATCATTCGAGATCTTTGATATCTGCATTTTTATTGCATCTTCTGATATTTACAGTAGCCTTTGTAAAATGTCAGCCTACTTGTTTGAGCTTTCATGTGTAGGATTTCTAATTTACAGCAAAAAAGTTATTATATCAAAACTATTCTGACCAAATAAGCTTTTTAACAAGATCTGCCCTTCTTATCTCTTTCCTCTCCCTCTGGCAGCTGCTGCTGCAGGCAGAGCACAGGTTTATTCAGATAAATTCAGTTTATTTCCCATTGCTGCGAAGCGTTTCAGAATTTGTGAAGTCTGGCTGTATTTAACAAGACAAGGGGCTCAGTGCAGAGCTTTGTGTCAGACATGTATGAACTGTTCGGTTTCATCTTGCCTTTTAAGCTTTTATTTACCAATATACAAGGACAGAAAGACCATGAAACAGTAAGTATTAGGACACGAAGCATCAGCATAGACAAAAAGAGAAAAATGGTTGACTTAGGAGGAAAAAAAAAAAAAACCTGGACAGCTATAAGAGGATAGAAAAGTAGAAATTGTACTATGATTGGATTTGTTCTAGGATGCTGTTGCTTATTTACTGTTGCAGTGAAAATATATTACTTTGAATCCGTGTGAGAATTTCAAGCCAGCTTGCAATACTTGTCTTCAGCAAAATAAACACAGGCTTAAAGGAATTAAATAATTATTTGTCTTCAGCTCCTTTTAAGGTGTAAGCTTTTCTTCTATTCATATGTCACATGGTGCTTAAAAGAAATATTTCTTATGCCAATGAGACAATGTTGGTGGTGGTTTTTTCCAAGATCATCCTCAAAATATCTTACTGGAGTTTAAGGGTGTGTGGTGAGAACAGAGAAGGGCTTTTGGCAGCTCCCCGGTTATTTGCTCGTGTCCCTGAAGCGAAATACGTGACTCAAGTAAGGTGACACCAGGAGCGAATTTAAAGAGCTGTTGAAGTTGAGATAAACAGTACAATTTAAGAAAAACTCCCATCTTCTGATTTGCATTTGTATATTTAGCAGACTGCAAGGATCGTCTGCAATTCCACTGAATCCAACGGCCGTTTTTGGTGGCGTGTCTGGTTCTGCCCCATTGCTTGCCCATAAGGAAATCCCAGCCAGTCTGGGGCACCTGGTTGCCCCTTTCGTAGGGTTGCTTTGCAGCCCTTACAGGTTTTTTCTCCATATTTCTACTTGTGCTTATTTCATAGCTCAAATCTTTTTGTATTTCTTCATGGACCCTTCCTCTTTTTGCTGTGTACTGTCGTAAATTCATCAGAAAAAGTTATTAATCTCCTTATGGTCTTCTTTCTGGTATATGTCTCTATAGTATCTTGTTACACACAGGTCCAGATTTTTTAAAACATTTAGCATTAGATTTGCTGTATAAGTACTCAGCACTTATGCATATCATGTAGTGGCATCAAGTTGAACATTTCTATGGTAAAGAAGACGTGGGTAAAGAAACACAGGAGAAATTTATGTTGAGAGAGCATGGACTAGCATCACATAGGTCCCGTGTCTTTAGCAGAGTAGGGTTAGCATCCAGGTCCTCAAAATGGCATTCAGATACCCTAACCCCATAAATTATTCTTTGTGTTCCTACAGTTCATGTCTCAGCCCTAGTATATTGTACAATTTTGGCAACAGATGTTACTTATGGGACTACTGCAGTAGTCTCCTTCACTGCACAGTCTTGACTCAATCTCCAATGATATATATTAATATTATGTATTAAATATAAAATTATTAAAACTAAATTGAAGATGAAAAATGTTTGCAAAGCTAAAAGCTGTATTATAATAGGGAAGTAATAGGATGCAATTCAAGTTGCACCCCAAATCCAGTATTTGTGAATTGTAAATCTTAATCTAACCTTAACTATTAGTTTTTTAAAATGTGAATGTTTTATGCATTCAGTTTCTTAGGTTTCTAAACAAGGTACCAGAAAAAAAAGTCATTGTAGCACATTTGATCAGCATAATCAGATGGGTTAGCTCTGTTGCACAGTGCTTTGTAACTTCAACTAATGGCATGATCTAAAGCATTTTGTGTAGCACTTCACTAGAGAATAGTGCGGTGTTTTGCTTGGGGACATCTCAGCCGCATGGTGGGACTCCTAAACCATCGTATTTATTCTGGGCCTTGTAGGAAAACGCTCTCTAGTACAAACCGCTGAGCCATCCCAGCCTATCTTGGTTCCATCTCATCTCAGCCATTCTGTTCTCCTCCGAGCCATGTCCCTTCTTGCTTCCAGCAGGTCGGGAGTCGGGACGTAGCAGCTTCCTCACCGCTCCGGTTGTAGTCTCTAGAAGATTATCTGCTGGAGGCCCAGTCTTCCCTTATCAAAGCCTCGTCTGATCCAATCTTTGTTCTTCCCAAGCTTCGTAGTTATCTGTGTTCCTCTGTTCACTAGCGTTCTCCTGTCCCACTGCAGGCACAGCATCTTCCGTGGGTCCTACCCAGTGCCAGTGTCTCCTTCTCCTCTGGGTTCCTGTTCCGCTGTGTGGTGATGTCCAACACCAGGCTTCCCTTTTGTCAGGGATGTGCCATTTACCATCCCTACCATTGCCATCTCTACCATCCATCCTAAGTTATTTCAAAATGAAGTTGAACATGGCTTCTTAGCATAGAACAGTTAAATCTCTGATGTTATTCCTCCTATTGGACATGTGCCATGCTCAAAGTTGAACAGGACTCCAGTAAGGGAAGAAATAATGCATCCCTTCCACCACCTTTCCAACTTCTAGCTCTAGTCAGTCTCCATCCTGACAGTCTAAGTCTCTGTCTTCTCTAGGTGTGAGTCTACTGGTGGCTTGCCCCATGCTGTTAGAGACAAGCAGGGTGGCTGCACTCGGGCATCCCCTGTTCTCGCTGCAAGAGCTGCCCAGAGCAGCAGTTGCAGATGAAGTCTGGCGTATGTCCGCTGTGGGAGGGAACTTCAACTCAACACGTGCTCAGACTTCGTTTTGCTGATACAATTTGGTAAAATTTTAATGGGCCCTAGTAGGGAGGAGGAGGATTAAAACAACGCTTCTGACAAAAAGGTTATCCTGCCTTCCCGAGGGAAGGAAGTTGAATCCTTTTGCAAAGCTGTTGGCCATGAGAGGTTTTCTAAGAGATGATGTGCTGTTTTTAATGAGTGATGAATTGGATTATTTACAGGTTGGTTTGGATCATGAGAGACCTGATGCATATGTTTATGTGATGTCAAATTCCCAGGTTTTTAGCTGCAGTAAGTGTTTTGTCTGCAGTAAGTGGATATTTTAGTGATGGGTACTTCTGAAACTTTGATTTGCTCAGGGCAGATCATCATCTTCACAGTAAAATGAATGTAACAACAGTGTCTTAAGACTGCAATTCAAATGATCATTTGTATTTTAAATACTTTCAAATGGCTGTTTTGACTAATAGCAATCATTTCATAGATATCGCAATAAGAGTGGGTTGCTGATACATAACTTTACATCACATATAGGTAACTTGACATCTGAAATCTGCTTCTAGGTGACGTGAAAGTCAACAATGTCATCAGATATTGATATCTGCGTTATAAATAGAGTCATGTTACCTTTATAGGAAGTTACGTCGCCACTGAACAATATTCTGTTCGTAATTTGTAATACCTAAGGGTGCCTTCACTTACCCAAGTTGCATAGCTTAAACTTTTTTTTGCAAGCAGTCTAGCTCAAGCAGTTCAGAAACCCAGGTGGATATGTCAGGCTTTGTACGCGAATATTTATTTCAGTTTATCTTATCATTTCTCCGGTTGTTTTAAACTACATCAGGATACGTAATTTTAAAGTTGCACAAAACTCCTTTACCACCGTTTTAACTAATTGATTCAAAGCCTTAGTTAAATTTTTGCAACTTCATATGTGGATGAAGTCCTACTGTACTTCAGTTTTGTGCAGTCGGGTCAGTAAGGTTTCTAGCCTTTTGAATTTTTTGTGCAATTCATGCCCTGGTATAGCTCAGACAACCGATGCAAAATGGTTTTAGGAAATATCTTATTTGAATAATGAATAACAGACCCTCTGATCTCCTATCATCGATCTCCCAGCTGTACGGATGATTATGAAAATCATTTTGCTGAACGAGGGAGATGGCGTTACCGTAGAGCGACACTGGTTGGATAGCTCGTCTGTGCGACTTCCTTCTCAATCTTGCCAATGCTTTCAGTTGCTATACATCTTTTCAGTCCCAGGGAAGAATGTCCCAGTTGACATGATGATCTATCCTCCTTTATCAAAAGGGAAGATTTTTTTTTTAGAAAGTGTCTCCTTCTGTGAGGGACGGTCCTAGTGACCCAGCCACCCTTGCCAGCTTGGGACGAGCTCTTCTCTTACCTGTCTCTGCCATTATCTTCCCGCATGATACAGAGGCTCTATTCCTCCTCCCCTCGTTTCTGCATCGCCAAAGCAGATCCCTGTACTTTTGTACTTCCGGAGGTATCGTGACGGTTGCTCGTAACACTGTCTCGCATCTCCAGGATGATCTCTCTCATCTCATAGTCAGCATTTCTCTTCATATTCATTACTCTTCTTCTAAGTGTACCTGTTCCGTTGAAGTCATGAATGAACCAGCCTATCTAAATATATATATATATATATATATACACACTTGCTTTTAAGCACAGATCCTCAGCAAGCTGTCAACAAATGATAGTAATGCGTGCTCAAGTACTGTTTGCTAGCTTGGAACTCCGAGGTGCGAACACGGAGCCACAGAAGTATAAGCTGTCATGCAGAGCACGGTGTTCAAGTGGGAAACTTCGTTAAAGAAACAATCAAAAATGTCACTGTAACATCAGATGTGTGTGGAGCTGCCCAATGACTTGGGGTAACTTGATTTGGAAGAAGAAAGTCTGCACCCTACCTTTACCATAGCCCTTGGCGTGCTGTCACTCCAGGGTAAAACTAGCAACATTTTAGAGGACTAATACTAATATTTTCCTCTGGCTATTTAAAGTTAGAAGGGATATTGAACTTTGAGCTTTGTGCTTTGGGTAAGAGGAAAACTTTGCAGCTCACGCACTGATTTTTCGAGAAGACGGCAGCGTACGTTATTTAGTCCTTCACAAAAGTATTGCTGAAATGTAACCACATTTACAAAGGAAATGCAGCAGGTAACACGGAGTGGGAAGCAGGCAGAGGCAAGCTGGCACTAGAGGTTTAGTAACACCTGAAGTCTTTAAGAAAGTCCAGAGGAGCTGGAGTACTCCTCTGCTGCCCCTGATCAAAACCCGTGAGAGCCTGGCCCTTTGCTAATGATTTAAAAGAAAGATTGCACAAAATGCTATGTTACCGTGAAGTGCTCGTGCTTTTTATTCACGGATGTAATCTGTCTTGTGGATATTGGAACTAACCCTACGGACTAACCGTACAACTCAGTGAAGTGCTGGCTTTAGTTTTGCTTCTGTAATTATAACACAAGCCGTTAATTTGCATAATATTGTATATAGGTCGGATCTTGCTATTTGTGCTATAACAACCTGGGAGGCTCTACAGCTAGTAGAATATATCCAGTGAGTTAATGGGTTTATTATTAATTTTTAAAAATTCTTTTCTGCTGCTAAGAATTACTGATGGCATTATTTTTTTCTTCCTAGAAGTGGAAAGCTAAATAACCATTTAGAAGCTGCTATACACGAGGCCATGAGTGAACTAGACAAAATGTCTGGGAATGTAAGTTTCCTTTCACGTTAGCAATAATCTCCTTTTTCTATGTTTCTGCATGTGTGTCAGTTGAAGACCGGGAGTCTTGGTTTGGGTTGCTTTCTGACATAAGTTTTGTTTCTATTTTCTTAAATAATGTGGAATTTTCAGTATTTCTCCTGCACTAAAACCCGTTTGCAAATGTCTAATCATTCTGAAAAATGGGAAAATATGGAGAATTTTAGTTCCATTGCCAATTATATTATTTTTTACAAAGGTAGATTCCTGGACGTACTTTTACTCATCCAGCCTGTTAATACTGGGATCAGTTCCAGTCCTGCTCATACTCCATGGGTTTTCTCTGACTAGTGACACAAAATCAGGCTCATTTTCAGTTTGAGTAGCAAGATATTGAAACCACATTTCAAAGCACCGTTCTTTTGAATGTAGACTCTTTGAGTAAAGCTTTCCTCATGTGAAATGAAAGATACTGTCATGAAAGGTAAGAGCATTCCTAATAGCAAATCTAACAGTGCTCTCTCTAAAATATTTACACTGTTATTATGTAGGCCCAGTATCTTTCTAATAGAAAATTTGGTTTATATCATGTGCTCACCTTCATATTTAGAACATGTCTGTAATTTCATTGACGTGCACTTAGAAATGCAAAAAAAGTATATCACGGCAAGTCTAACCTCTCATATCATTGGTAGTTATTCAAATTATTAAACATTTGAATACATAAAAAAGTCTTTTTCCTGATATTTGGTGCTCAGTACTGAAGATGCTCGTACACGTGCATATGTAGAAGTAGTAAAACTTCAGGGATGTGCCTGGAGTACAGAAAAGGGAATGCATACAGAACTGCAGAGTTAGAGCTGCTTTCAGAACCACCAAGAAATATTAAATAAGCTATTCAGTAGCTTTTAATGGCTGCAGTGAGTAATAACAAAACCAAATCTTTTGTTTAAACTTGTGAATTTTGCAAAATGAGATTGAGTTTTGATATAAAATGGTATGTGTTTTCCTGTTGTCTTTGGAAGGAAAAGGAGAGCAGGATCTGGTTGTAGTCTCTTACAAATAAGTATGGGCTGTGTGTTTGGCACACACATCTCTGTCGGTTACGCTGCCACTTGCCTGTTTGGACTGGACCGTTCTGCTGATACCTTTTTTCATTTATAAATCCAGTAATACTAAAAACTGTATGCTATATGCATTTTAAGTGTGATAGAAACTGGCTCAGGGGAAAGCGCTGTAATGGGATTTGCTGATCGGGTTGTTTCGTAATGCAGACAAGCTGGTGGACCAGCCTGCATGTCATTGCATAGTCTTGATTTATATTTTAATTACCCCATCACAAAATTTGCGATCAGGGTTTATTTCCATAAAGACCGTGATTCCTAGAAACAATCGGAGGGAATCAGCGGTTCTTTTTAGTGACTTGCATTTTTTGTCAGCTGCTGCTGTTCAGACATCAGTGACATTTTAAATGAAAAGCATGTGCAAACAAGATCATGAGCTCAAAGAATTATTTCTACTGGTAAGAGCCAATAAAGAGGTAGTAAATGTTAGCGGTCTGAAGGAATTCAGGACAGACCCAAGGAAATAATTGAGCACGTTGCTGAAGGATTTGTTGCTGTTGCCTGGCTGCTGTTGGGAAGCGGCGAACTCCTCTTGCCAGAACAGCAGCTCGCTTCCGCCGACAGATGGTGGTGGTATTCCACGCTAGGCGCGAGCGCCTGCCTCCACCTCTGCTCTCCCAACGATGTTGTGTTTTTCACTGAGCAGCCAGTGATGAAAAGCTGTTTCACACTCAAATTAACCTAGCGTTTAGCTCGAAATTGAGTATTTCCTTTTAATAATCAGATGAAGACAGAGTTTGCTAAACATAGCTTGTTCCTGAATAATGCTACCACAGACCTGAATTTGACTTCTTCTTTTTTTTCCCTGTTAGCAATATTTTCTCACCACCTACTTCCTACTTTATTGCTCTTGTCGCGATGACGTCTAAAAGTTTGTCTCCAAGAACTTGACGTAATTGCAGTTTCGGGTTCAGTTCTCGATTCTGCGGTTTCACAATTACTGCAGCGGGTACCTTTCTCCAAGGCAGGAGAGGTTTGAGATGCACCGACTGCGGCATCGACCTTTTTCTCCCCAGTGCCTTAAAGTTCTTGAAGTTCCTTTTAATTCGGGCTCCCGTGTAGACGTGAAATAATAAGCACCGTTTCCTAACAGCACCTCAAGCAATCCTGTAGCTCATTTATTGCTGGCTGGTTATTTTGACCGATATTCTTTGCTAACTTCTAAATATACTTATTTTTAGGTCCACCAAATCCCACAGGGAGACAGACAAGTGAAGCCTCCAAAACCCAAGAGGAGGAAGATCTCTAGATAACATTGAATGTCTTTGTTACTGGTCCAGTACTTATCGAAGTGAACGTGCACATAAGTCTATATGTAGGTATTGATATAGACGTGGTTATATCAATATTTATATGAAGACAGATAGATACCATCCCAGGGTGCTACGCGGATTAGTGGTACAATATTTTTGATGATCAGGAGGGATAGCGGTTGCTGGATAAGCCAATCAGAAATCTTGAAAGGTTGCAGTAACAATGTCAGATGATTACGGAAATTTTTTTTCTATAATACTAAAATTGTGATTATAAGAAATAGTCCAAATGTTTCTGAGAAATTTTCATTGTGTATATAGATAATACAGAATTTCACGGTGATATCTGAAATGTAAATATTGTACAATATTGTCATGTACAAGCGTACCTAATGCACACTTTATCTTTTATTGTACAAAAAATAGTGTACAAAATTCTTTGGTTTCTATTGAGTACACATACAAGAGACTACCAGTGTAAAGTGATAAATAAAAATACAGCCTAAATGCTTTTATATGATAATGTAAAAGATGCTGTTTTTGTATTTAACAGCAGAGAGAAGGCATGATTATGTAAAACCTTAATTATGACATACACTTCACGCCACTGAGTGTCCATCGATACTGTCTGTTTGGAATGAACCTTGCCTGGAAGTACTGTACTCCATTTCAGGTCTCTGTAGGAGAGTGCAACCTTGCAGATTCCTAACGGGATGTGGGATCACAGCTCTAATTAATAATTCAAAGGCTGCAACTATCGGTTGCGTTTTTATTTACTTAACTTTTAAAGTAGAATGCTGTAGATTTTATTAAAGAGGAAAAAAAAAGTAGATGGACTATTTTAGTCAGCCATTTCTGTAGTTAAAGTTTCATAGCCACCTGATAAACTAAACAGTTTATATCCCCCATAACGTTGACCCCTCAAAACCCCTAGATTTATTAGCTTAAATTATCTAACGTCATTAACCATCGTGTTTACTTTTAAGGGGGCAGAGGCCCTGCTTTAATAATGTGATCAGTATTGATTACGGTTTGGTTTTGCAGTAGAATGAAAGGGCATGCTCCGCAGCGTTCATAAAAGTAATTCCAGTATCCATCTCGCAGTATTAAAACAAAAAATTAAGGGTGGCTTACAAAACTATTAGCAACAGTAATTTTTATCAGTATTATGTAACATATCAGATTTATTTTATTTAAAAAGAATTATTTATACCATTAACAGATTCTTATATATATTAATGTGGCTGAAATGTGCAGGTTAAATCTATTAACCAAATTATTTATGTTATATTAAGTGAGAAATGTGAAACATATGTAGAAAAAATTAATACACTACAGATTTAAAAGTCTAAAGCTATGAGCCATTATAAAATGAACGAACGGAAGTGTAGCACAACATTATTTCCATTTTATTTCATTTTTCTTTTTAACACGGATGGTGGTGATGGTGATGGAAGCAATGACGTCCTCTGTCTTCAAGGCTTCCCGAAATAACTCTCAGTTCACCATTCCCGGTCCCGGGGCGGAGTCCATAACCCCTACCTCTTCCTCCGGGACCGCCACTTACCTCAGATTTCCTTTTTTCCCCCCCCTCAATTCCCAAATCTCACTCTCTAGCTAAGGACTGGCAGTGATCAGCATCCTGGGAAGCTGGCGGTATCGCCGCTCTCCAGATACGCGGCACTCGGCGCCGGGATCACAAGTCATTGCTCCTCTTCCCATCCACCTTGCCCAAGTCCCAAACTCCTCTCTCTGAAGGACCTGACCGAGACCAGCCGTCCCCGAGGACGACGGGACCCGGCGGCTTTCCCAGCCTCGGCTCTCGCGTGCCCGAGCACGCAGCACTACCTCTGGGCTCGCCCCTGGGCTTTCTCATGTCCGGCAAAACGGCTCTCACTCCTCCTTCCCCCAGCCCGAGGGATCGCAATAGCTACACTGGCTACAGGGGCCTGGAGGCAGGAGCCCTTCCTTCCGCGGGGTAGGTTCATTTGTCTTTTCTGTAACGCCACCGTCCTCCATGCAAGCTCATGTGAAGTGATCGATTTTATTAATTTAAAAAAAAAAAAAAACACAGATTTTTTTTGGGGGGGTGTAGTTTAGCTCATGTTTTTCTGTTCCGAGTTGGTGTCTTGGTTTAAAGAGTCGATGTTGTCCATCCTCCACGCCAGCCCGCTTTCCTGCCGTCTGTCCACACCCGCGTGGGTCTTAACTCATCGCTCCGTGCGTGCGTGTGTGCGTGTGCGTGTGCGAGCGCCTGTCTCGATTTAGTTCCTTTCCCCCTTTGCTTTCTGTCCTAGAACCGAGTTTGTATCGCCCGACCCTTCTTTTGGCATTTTAACGAATTAGGTTTGTACTTTCTCACCAATGTATACTTTACATCAGTAGACTATGTAAAGTATTTTTGTGCACTTGATTTCATTGGTTAATAATGGCATTGATGTGGGTGCTAGGAGTAGTTTGTTTCAGTCCATACCAATTTTTTTCTCTTTTAGAGTTTTTATGGTTTCATGTAAGCAGTTAATGTAAATATTGTGAGCATTACAGGTCATGCGGTGTTGTAACATTTTAAAAAATGTTGCACCTACTTTACGATTAAAAAACTGGTCACTCATACTTGAATTTTGCCCATAGAGCCATTTCTTTCTCTTTGCATTAAAGCATAATATACTTTTTTGATGGAGGCCCAACCCTTCTTTCTACCTTATTATTTTTTGTTTAATAAATCTATATTTTTTCTAATAGAAGACTTAAAAATGAAAATTTAAAAAATACTTTTTGCCTACTTTCTAATTTAAGAGAGAATTCCTATATTTAAAAGGTAAAAAAAAAAAAAAAAATACCCCATTGTGGAAAGTGGAACAACACTTTATTTGTCATTAATATGGCACAATCACACGAAACTGAACTGGCTGAGTAAAGCGAGCCCACAACCTCAATCAGTATCTCGGTAGCTTAGGGAAGGACGTGAAGCTTTGAGGATGTAAAGTGTTACATATTCTTGTCTATTTATTTATTTATTTATTATGCTTTCTTTTGCTAAGTGGGTGACAATGTGGTTGAGTCATTCAGATGACATTCAAATTAAAGGAAATATTCCTCTTTCTATTATGGTGCATTTTGTGAACACCATAAAAAAAAATATTTTCATTTATTTCAATGGATTTTCTTCATATTTTCACTTCTGACAGCAAACGTGTGGCTGGTATCAGCTGCAAAAATAATATCCACATAGTTTAAAAACAAAACAAAAAAAAAAATCCCCCCAAACCCCCCACCTCTGCTGTCCCAGGTCTGCTATCCTCACAGTCTAAGGTTTTAGGGGTTAAAAAGAACTTAAAATTTAAAGGTATTTCCTAAATCAGCTTTGCCGAAGGTTTCTAAGTAATGTGATATCCTTTTGGAGTCCTTGAGTTTGATGGTGTAGAGCTATTAGAGGGCTCGTGGTGGACTGAATTACCTTAGGACTGCTACCTTTCTTAGCTACAGTTTGTATTTTGCTATGTAGGGTTGTAATGTGAGAATTCCAGAAGAGCAGTAGCATAAAAGTGCTTTTCTATTTTTTAAAAAAACCCATTCTAGTCTTACTAAGAATTAGAGATTTTTTTAATATCAGTTTTGTAATTTTTGATAAAGTTGTCAATATTATGATTAAATCACCAGAAAAAAAAGTTACTGTGATGTTCTCTTCGGGGCAGGGACCTTGTCTTCCTCTGTATTTGTAAGATGCCACGATGGGACGCCCAGTCTTAAACGGGGCCACGGGCACCGCTATCAAATTAAGTAGCAACCAACAACGTTGAGGTCGATTTAAATGCATAAAAGCCAAGAGAATTGACAGTTCAGACTGCAAATCCGATTACCTGTCCTTAGTTTGCCTGCTGTGTCCTCCGTGAAGGTAACGTCCTCGGCTGCGGCGTCCGACGGGTAAGTTGAGGAAGCCGATGGCTGTTGAAGCTTTTGCTCGCACAACCCAGGACCTTCTCATCCAAGCCAAAGCAGATCCACGCCGTTAGCACAGCCCTCGACCCCCTCCTTCTCTCTGCTGTTTTTGCCAGTACGAACTGAGCAACTCAACGTTCGTGTTTCAGGATTCCTCAAAAAATACCATTAACCCACTGGTTTAAGCACGGTACCGAGTTACAAAATCCCAAAGGCATAAACAGATCGTTTAGTTCAGAATTCACCGCAAGCACAGTTCACGCTGGTGTCAAATCAACTCTAGAAAAACACTTCCAAGACTTCAAAAAAAAAAAAAGCCTACCAAAAATATATTTGTCTACCTGCGGGACACCCAGGGGCCTCCTGAGGATGCCCCGGGCTCTGGGGGCGCGCAGCCCGCCATGCCAGGCTTCCCTGCCCTGCTCCCGGCGCCTGCCGACCTGGTTATCCCGCGCTTGCGCCGTCGAGGACGAGGGCAACTGTAAGAGAGCGAGCCTGCGCTCACGTATTTCATACGATGCTGCTCAAACACAGAGCCTGCATCGGGCTGGGTTTGTGTTGCTGCAGTTAGTGCTGCCCAAGCATACGTACCCCAAAAAGTCCCGCCAGCCTCTTGCGACCCTGTGTTGCAGGCTGCTCTAAACTAGCGTGCCAAATGGAGAAAGCCACGGTCAACCGGAACAGTAAGGCGTTACATTTGCTTTGCATTTGAAAGCCAAGCAGTGGGAAGTCAGGCCTCCGTACCTCCTTGCTCTCTGCCAGGTTTTACAATTTATTTATTGGCTGTGAAGGCTTAAACGCAATTTTTGTTGTTGCTTTAAAAAAAAAAAAAATCTGAAATTCGATTTGAAATATCCCCCGCGAAAGCATGTTCTGGGAGAGATTTCATCTCTCGCATTTTTACCTGCTGCGAGATAAGTATTTGTCTGTAATTGCGTGCCATCCCAACAGAGGATAAGGGGTTAGGATTTAGAAGAGAAAAAAAAATGTATGTGTATATGTATAGAGTAGTTCTTTCTGGAAATTCCTATCTTGGAAAAGACATGGGAAACGGGAAGGGGTTTGACGTACTTACCCTGGACGAAGCAGAGCGGAGAAGGCCGAGTGAGAGCATCCCCACGGATCCCTGCCTACAAACCCCAGGGAAGCATTGGCACAGGTCGCCACAAGCCAGAGAGAACAGGCGGGCCCGCGCGGCGTCAGGCGGCCGTTTACGGTTCCAGGCAGAAACCGGTACCGGCGAGCGAGCGAGCTGGGTCCGCGCCGCCGCTTGCGTCCGGCTCTGAGCGGGGTCTGGTACAGCCACGTCCGGGTCCGCTGGCGCAGAGCATGTGCAGGTAAGTCCTCCTCGGGCCTTAATGATTTCGCTTAGCTAATGACGTGAAAACCTATTAACTGTTATTTAAAACCAGTGATCGTGAGAGATGGCACAGATAAGGAAAAATAAGCATTCTCGCCCTGAGGAAATGTCAAGGTACCAAAACGACGGCTGCAATGCAAAGAAAGAAAATAGTAGCCTAAAAATACAGAAGAATAAATTATTTCAGTTCAAAAGCCGTATATAACTTCTACTCAG